TTGATTTGTAAGTTTGAAAGCCGAAAATGCTATATTTAAGCCATCCTTAAGCAGAGTTGTTGAGAAATTATATTGAGAGGTTGATAATTGTCATTGCATAATTTTTATAGCAACATATAGAGAAAGCACAGTTTCGAAGGACTAATTACAATGTTGTTGATAAGTCTGTTCATTCTTAGGTTCTTTCCATTTCGATTACCTGTCTTGTATTCTCTTTCATTTGCCTTCGAGCAATCTCTAGTAACAAACGTTGCCGCAGCACATCCAAAGGATTCACGATTGACAGAGATGGTTTGTTTCGTTTATCCAGCGAGAAGTCTTTCTGTAAATATAAAAAATAAATAAAGCAATAAATCACTGATTTTAATTAAGTCGTAAGGTTTTGAGTAAAAAAATTAATTTTTACCGGGCCGTAACGCCTGCCAGTAAATGGTGGAATCCCAGATATGGATCCCTACAAACATTACCTCTAAATTCGCAACAGGCAAACATTTGATAGGTACATAGTACATATTTKTAGGCTAAGCCTTTATCAAAATATCTGTGCTTGTACTGCTACAAATGGATGCGATGATGTTTCAGTTTCATAATGCCATTCTCGAAATTGATAACGATGTTTTTACAGTTACTCAACTAAAGTCAATTTCATTATGTGCATTATTACGAGCCTGCATTGATTACATGCCGCATGCATACATATGCCTATAAACGTAGCCATGTCATGCGAAAATGCATACGAGCAGATTGTCACCACCCCATGTGCGAACGGCTCAATCGCTCCCTCAGATTGATATAACTCTCATATCATTGTTATGCTGTTTATACCTGAATGTTTTGGCCGTTGTGCATCGCTGAACACAAAGTCGTTAATAGGTACAGTAGACCTACCAGTCTGATGCATTTTCTTATTCTTCTCTACTCAAAAATAATATATAAATATGTGCATTATACGAGTATCTGGTTAGGGTTGCTTATAAGAACCAAAAACCTTGAAGTATTTTAATTAGGGCAAACTCGTTGTCTTCGAAAGTCGTCACAAATCAGTTGAACATATCTACGGTTACAACACTACTACACTACACCACTAGCTCTGTATAGAACTGGTTTAAATCCTTAACTTCAAGCCTAGCAGATCACTTAGTGAGACAAATTTAAAACAAGCTAATTGTTTGAGAGTTTACAGAAGCTAACTATTTGAGAGGCTAGAGTTATTGAGAAACAAAAAATATTATACTATTTCTTTTCGGCAAAACAAAGAATAAATGCTTGTGCATTGGAAATTAGTGCAATCACGCATATAAACTTTTGTTGACTTTCGAGTTTTATAAACATAAACAAGTCATACATACGTGGGGGTGGTGTTCTTCGTACTTCAATGTCGCACGTATAATCTGTGCTTACATTTGTATCAGTGCAAATATAAAGAATGTTACTGTGCATTTGCGCCATCATCTCTGTGCGGACTGGACGCGATGCTGCTTATTAAAAAGTTTGTGACTTATGCGAGTACATGCGGAATAAACGGGAGTTGTGAGGGGAGGTCAGAATAAAAATTTTCAGATGTTTAGATTGTATTAATGTGTGTGGTATAAAAACGAATAGAAATGGTATAAAGGTATCGCACGGGAAACTCATGATTATGTTGCTGATTCAGAAGAAAACAAGCGTAAATGAAGATTATGCTCGGCTCATTTGGCGTTAACAATTAGCTGTCAAATAAAAGTTTCAACACACGAACGGAAGTGGAAAGGGAAGATTGTGTTTTCAAAGCGAATTACCGGAAAAGTTGTTTGGTACATTGGATGGTGAACATTATGCAAAAAAGCTGCAATTTGTTTTAAATAAAAATCTACAAAGAATTTGTTAATCAATTTTTTTTATCGCCAAAACCGCTGCTATTGACGCAGCCCTTATGAAACAATGGCTCGCCGTTTAAAAAATGATTTGTTATACCTTGTACGGTCTCCGTTATTACCCTAGGAATAATTAGTGTTAATAAAATAAACGTAATGTGAAGAGCTAAATAACACATGGTTAAATTTATGCCGCTGGAAAATGTTTATAAAAACGCAGATATGCACTCAAATATCTACGACATCGCTATGACTTAAAGTGTTAAACTTTTCGGACGCCTACACTCCACTCGAAATAATTTATTGTTTCATTTTTGTTTGTTTTGATGGCAAACTCTCTCTCTGGTCTTTAATATTGACGTCACGTAAAGGGATTCATGGCTGATGACTCTAAGTTGCTCTAAAACAATGGTGCTCAAAACGCGAGTTTTGAGAATAAATTTCCACGACTTTAAAGTTTTTCAAGGAAATTTGCCAAATTATATTGAATATAAATAATTGTTTTTGTTTTTATAGCTATTGAATATCTCTAAAGTAAATATGTGTTTCCTTATGTACACTACAATAGACCTAAGGTCGCTGTGCATTCTTCGGTAATCAATATACACCAATACAACTATTTTCTCTGAACTGAAACTGCCTTTTGAAATGGTCCAAAATTGTATTTTACTTACCTGTATTAATCTGACGTCCGCGTAGTCGAGAGGGTACCCGACAATGCTGCTGTGGTGGTACCGTTGTTGAGCCGTACACACGAGTCGCGCTGCGCAAATCAAAACTATGATGGGACAAAGTCTAGTAGCAGCTTTCATAGTTCTGCAAAAAATAAAATAGCATAAATAAAATTATTTGATTTTCGTCGTTATATACATAGATTTCTCTGGGAAATTTTTACGACTTTTTATAATATTTCCGCAAATAGTTTTTGGTGATTTATTGTCACATAAATCGTAACGATGTAACTCTCGGCTTGCCTCAAATGTACATACATACATGTATGTATAGTATATGCTTCAGACGACGGATGTACCATTAAAACTGCATATAGACATCGCAGGCACATTTGCTTGATGCGGTCATGAGGAAAGTTGGAGTGAGTSATTTGTGATGACGTTATGAATGAAAAGTGAGCTAAACTACTAAATATGTACGTAAGTGTGCATATTTCCAGTTCTAGCACTGTAACAATTCGTCCCTTTTTGGCGTGATTGCCAGCGGCACATTGACGATAAATTCGTAATTATCAACATGTAACTACGACGGACATGGCGGCAACATTTAATTGTATTTAACCTAGSTTTTATTCACTGTGTAATTTAATTTTCTATTTATTAAAAGCTCTTTGCTTCTATTATGTATGCAGTTATTTATGTTCAACTGAAACAAAATCACTCCAGTTTCTGGCATACATTCAACAGTAGTTTTGTCATTATCTGTATTTTTCAGATTTATTGATGCTAACGTCATTTAATTAGATCGATTCTCTATATATATTTCAATAAAGATAAAATCGTTTCTGATAAAATATAGACAAAAGGATTATTTGAAACCTTTAGCTTCTCAAGTAGTTCCTATTAATTACTATTAAAATAATTGTTCGAAATGACTGTCTCAAAACCTTAAAGATAGCAGTTATTGAAACCAAATTTATTCATGAACAATTTGGTGCATTAGTCTGTAATGATGGCAGTAACTTGCAGAGTCACATAATTTGACACCCTTTAGTTCGTGTGTAAATATTCTGAATGGCAAAGTCTACGTCCCACACTACGATTTTGAGGTCTACAGGTGCATTACCATCCATTAACTCAACATCATATGCTCCATCAGTCAAGCAATCAGAACGGCATCCTAGTAGTATTTGTTTGTCGATTTATTTGTGGTTACATATATGTACATACCTACATAAAATGCGCTTATGGGTACAAGTCCATGCATATATACTAAACATATTACCATATGTATGTATGTACCATATAATATTTTAAAGTTGCGCGTTTATATGCATGAGTGTAAATGTAATGAGATAGTGTGTGCAGTTCGACAATTGCCACTGATGCATTTCGTGCTGTCATTGCCATGCATGAGGTTTCACTCGTTCGTCTATTCAAGAAACAATCACTAACACACATGAGTGCGCTGCGAGTGTATGTGCCTTTTTTATTTATTCAAACATCACATAGACATATGTACATACGCACAAATAACAAATATAATAAATACATAAATAAGCACTTACACATACATAGTCTATATTGCTTTGTTGTGGACAAGCTGAGCTTCCGAATTTCGTGATATCAGTTATTGACACAACAATAAACATTGCTGGTTATATGCCGTTAGTTTTTACCCATTTACACACGATTTATATTATTTACATGTATATGTAAATAAATAACGACGGTTTAATTAATTTATTTATCCTTTGAAACTGTAACCAAGAGCAATTTAAATATATTAAATTGCTAATTAATCATATTTATTGTGAAAGATATGATACTATTATATTGTACATATGTAGTTAAGTAAGCACCGAAATGTGCACGTGATTTCTGTATTTTTTCAATTCTAAAACAAACAATATTTATGTACATACAAACAATGTACATACAACAAGTAGGCTATCTTCACAAATACTTCATCATATTTTCAATACATTTGAATTATTTGAAATCGCAAATAACGACCCTAGTTTACGCCCTATTCCGGATATTCCTGTATTAGTTTTCACATCGTTTGTCTGAAAATTTCGAACAAATTTCATTTTATTTTGAAATTATTGAAGTAATTCTCGGAGTAAATAGCGCGCATAGCTCTTTATGCAAACCCGGTAGATGCCAAAGAACAAAAATGTTGTTCCATACAAATATGTATCTGCATACATACTTATATGTATGTACATATGTATATGTACATGTACATGTATACTTCTTGAGCGTACCCGGAGCTCAATGTCAGAATTGCTGTGGAAAATTTTAACAATTTCTGAACTAAAATATGCTCGGCAGTCCAAATTTAGGAAATTGTATTGATCTGATAAATGAGAATTTTATCAAATTGTTTGAAATATAATATGTACATAAAAAGCGATTCTTCATCTTAATATAAGATTATCAAATTGTTTGAAATAAATATTTAAACTGTGGAACATAGCCATTGAGCCTCAAAGCAAAACTACATATGCAATATACGAGCATGTAAAATGCATAATTGTGAACTAAGTATATTGGCAATGTCTTCTGACATTGGAAACACATGCGATCCTCTAGTCATCCGAAGCGTTTGCCGTTAGTTGAATGATACATTAATAAATTTAGGTCTTTATATTAATTTGTGTTTCACTTTATGAGAATTATTTTAATTAAGATCCGAATAAAGCAAATTACAAAGATTAGAAGATAAATATTGGTTTTAGTTTCTTCATATTGCTATTTGTTCTAATTATGTCAGTTTATGCAAGCAGGCTATAACTAGACTCTCGGTAGGTAGCTCRGTTAATATCATCTGGGTACCCGGTCATAAAGGAATAGAAGAAATAGAAAAAGCAGATGACACGCTGAAGACACAGTTCCCCTAACCTGTCCAAGGCCATTCAGCTCCTCAGGTATTCGAACATAAGCTACACAGACCATACCACAAAGTTACTTTGGGGTCGTGTTGATGGTGGACAGACCAAACAGCTCCTTCTTCYAGGGCTTTGCACCTACCCTTAAGATCCCAACTTTACAAAATTGGAAAACTAGATTCGACAGAATACTGACCATGTGTCGAAGGATCATGAGACGGTAGAACATTATCTTTTCTAATGCCTAGCCTTCAACTGAGGCGGAACATATTCCAGGGCGCCTCCTTTTTACAACCAATCAATCAACCAAAGGTTGTAGGACAACTTTATCATCGTTTGTAATCTTGTTTAAAATTATTAGGGTTTCGAAGTTGGCGAACGCAATTTACGTCAACTTGACATGTGACGGCCCAAGATAATGCCCGTTTCTGTCCTTTAATACATTTTATGCATACTTCATTTGTGAAAAATCCTGTGGCAAACTTGTAGACGAAATTAACCCAATTTATGCCTCTTTATCTCCATTCTCATTACGGCCACTTTTTTTGTGCATTGTATACATACTACATGAGAATTAAAGTACATGCATATGTGTATATGTATGTGAACAAATATTCTCGGTCTACACATTTATGAAATAAACATACGTACGTGCTTACATTCGGATGTACATACACATGTGTTACATAAGACATGTTTCCACTCGTAAATCTATTTGTATTATTTGATGAACAAACCTGGATTTAATCGATTATATCGCTATTTATTATGAATTTATTTTTCTTTCCTTTTCAGAGCAAAAGGATTTGTATGTACAAATGTACAATTATTCGTTAAACCTTAACAGAAAATCTTTCTACACGTAGTGTGACTATTACATTTGTTCGCAAACCATAAAGCCCATTCCAATGTTACTCATATGTTTGCAGGTATGTCTGTGTGCTTATCATAGCCCTTTTCAACTATGCAGAAGGAACACGTGTAGGTGCAGATTTTAGCGTTGCCTTTCTCCTTCAAGCACAGGTGAAAAATGGTTTGCTATTTGTCAGTTTTGAGTGCGCCTGTGGCTAATATATAAGTGGTTTTTATTTTCGTTCTCGGATATTTGCAGGATAAATCCAAAGTATTCTTGAGCAGTTTTATGTTTACATTAATAGCTACATACGCAAGTGGTATTATAGTAGTAAAAATACAATTTCTAATCTAACCGATCACTGCCCAGTTTTGTATAGTGTTTGCATACTTTACATTATTATTACGAGTGTGTGTTCGTAAAAAGTACCTTTATGCAGCAAAAAAGCTCGCTAATTAAAGTACCTTTCTTTAAACAGACATAACTCTTACCTGGTGATTTTATCTTTATTATTCTATCATTCYTTTCGATTTTATGCATATTTCCATTCCAATTGTGGTAAAATAATTTAACCCAAAGCACCAAATATAATTGCTGCATTTCATTTGAACTTAACATAAAAAGAAATTAACTTTAAATATATACACATATACGCATGCATAGATGTAAACTGTGATCTCGGCGCAATCTAAAATCACACCTAATTGACTTCAACGAACGTTTACAACGTTTTTTTCTCACGAGAAACATCCCCACTTAAAGGCAAGGAAGCCGCATAGATCGTCGACGGTTCACATTAAAATGCGTGCGACTTTTTATATATGCAAATCCAAGTGCTTTGATGTGTGAGCGTTTGTACCCATATTTGTGGCGGATTTAGTCTTTGGGCACATACAAGAAAGGAAATGCCGAACCTGACGCATTGATTCCTATTAATAGATTTGTCAGCTTTTTTACTATTATTAGGATATTGATTTTTTAACATTTGTGGAGGAGGAATCGCCAGTCAAATTGTTCTGAATCTACAAATGAGTTTTGTTTCCACTAAAAATGAATTTATGTTTCGATTAGGATTGGAGTATGCTTTATCTTAGGAAAAGGATGCTATTTTGGCATAAGTAATGTAATGCATAAGGCTAACAATAAATACTGCTCACAAGGATTTGGAAAAGKTGAGCGAAGATAAAAGTCCGGAAAGAGAGAAATGATGAAAAAACTGAGAAAACAAGGTTGTTTACTTGTTACATACATATTTGTCTTTCAACAAATGCCGTAGGTGAATTTGAAGTATTTAGAGAGATTTTTCAAAAATTTTTTGCGAGAAATTTCTATACAATTTCCCTTTTTATTAAATATACTCTAGATACAAAAATGTGCAGCAAATTGCTTATACTCAATATAATAAAAAAAAAAAACATTGCACAGAAAAGAGTTTGCAGCTATTTTCCAGTGGAACAATTAAATTCCTTCATTTCTTATTTTCTTCTCGCTACATTTATGCTCTCAGTATGTTTTTAATTTAATGTAGCCAATTCTTGTTAGTCATTGAATTGCGTAGTGCGCCTGGAGTAAGTGGAACGGCTCTGTCTCAACTTGGTTGGCGCACTTCCGCCTGTCTTTCAAATGCTTCTCATTCATTTATTATAAATATGAATGTATGTAATAAAATACATCCGTACAGACGTTCAGACGTACACAAAGTAGTTATCCATACATTTCTCCAGACATAATAGCGTCTCCTAGGCATCACCGCGCAATTTTCCTCACAAGTTCACAAATCATTTTCGAAGATTGCATGCAACATCTACGCTTTCACCGATATTGTCGTTCTACCGTCTTAAGTGCTGTACTTCTCACTTAACATTAATGGATGCCGAAAATGATTTAATTTAATAAATTATTTCTAGCATTTGAAAAGCAGCCAATAGACCTTTTCTCTGCATCCGTCAAGCGTATCGCGACAGTAAATATTTGTTTTGAAATTAATTTAATTCAATTGGTAGTACAGTTGAACTTCCCTAACTCGAATCACCATAATCCACAAAAAATTATTGAGTTAGAGAGACTTAGAGTTATGAAAGGAAATTTGGCTTCTATTGCCAATTCAATAGTTCGAGTTATGGAAGTTCAACTGTATTTGTAATTTCTTTAATATTTCAACACTTTAAACTTTTAGTTTTTCGTTAGAGGTTGGTGAGTGAAAAATAGCTTAGAGCCAAAATATGTGTTGCTATGAAAACTTCATAGTTTGTATACGAGTAAGATACAGAAATTAGTTTAATGCGCGGACTATGAACCATGAACTATGTACCGGACAAGATTTTTTGGGGAGACAATTCTGTTTGCTTATCAACTTCATCTTCGCTATTTCAAGGGATTTCATTCCTTAATAGGAAAGTAGTAATAAATTTACCATAATTATTGTAATATTAGAACAATATAATATTTAGTTTCGAGGATTGACTCATTTAGTGCTAAGGTAAAGCGTAATGTACAAATACTTGAAMATATCAATAATATTAGTTCGCATGTCATCCGAGTATATTTAAGCACCGCAAACATCGTAACGATGCAATCTAAACCATTCGAAAAACGTTTGCTTTCAATTTTGCTTTTTGAAATTTAATACCGCATATAACTATAAAGTTTACCAAGAGCTTTTACTTATTTTGTATATATAATAATAATGAAGTTATCTTTGTATCGGCTTTTACTCGACGCTTGACATTATTTTGCAAAGAAGCAGAGGTATTCTATTACTTCAATGGGACATTTGTACTTTTAACGCTCTATCACATGAAAACGCACATATTGTGTGAATTGAATTCTTCAGWTTCTTGAATTTATCAAGAATTCGGCATCTAAGGTGCAACTGACTATGTTTCGTTTTAGAGAATTTGAATATTAGAGTAAATAACTTAATTCTGATGAAAAACTAAAAAAAGTTGGAAACGAGCGGACCTCATTTTTTCATGAAATTGTTATAAAAACGAATAAATATTTTCGCATTTTTCTGTCTCGTTTTCAGTTGGTCGTCCCATTCAACTGCATTCTGGAAAGAAGTTTCCTCCGATGGTAAATAACAAAAGAAAAAAATAATAGTTAAAGTTGGTGACATCGCTTACATTCATATATATATGTAGGTATATATATTGCACAGATTACTATCTATAATATCCGTGTGAGTGTGCAAAAGCAGCCAATTGTAGTAATAAGCGCAAGTGTGTGTGCTTCATGAGTCCAACAGTCAGTGTGTTTGGAAATAAGATTTTAGATTTTTAATTTAATAAAAGCATTTACATAGAAGGCTAAAGGACTTGTKTGCCTATGCACACTTAGGAAGCCCACGAGTATCTGAGAAGGAGACGAAGCGTTAAATTTAGTTTCCTTTTTAATCGTTTATTAAATGAGAATCAATTCATTATGTACTTTGTCTGATATTTTACGCTATGCGACCTTTTAACACTATTACTTATGGAACAATTTGGGCAAGTCGCAAATGCAATTTAAGTACATTACTTGCATGTGGAGAGTAATATTTTATCAATCGAATTTAAATAATCTATAATTGGAAATTGGAATTTAGGCAAAACGCTTCAAGAACTCGCAAAGTCTTTAAGAAAAAGCAATTATGTCCGACGCCTCAAAGTATACCTACCGCGTTTCGTTGCTGTTGCTGTTAATCCAAAAAGTAAATTGTTTGTTCAAGAATGTGGCGCTTGTGAGAAAGCAGCAGTTTATAAGCGAATTCCACTTGTCAACACAAACGCTATTTACTTAAGCACACTTATTATATTAATTCAAGTAATTTGTTGAAGACAAGCGAAGTGGCGTGTTGCTGTTACAAATTTCACAGCGATRCCAACCAAGCTTATTATGTTACTATTATTTTTTTTTAGATTTTTTTTTTTTAATTCAATAAACCCACACTTCACTTATACAGAACTTATATAGAAATTCACACACCGCGGCTAATTGAAGCTAACGAGGCATGTTACCAATCAATTTAAATTTGAAATGGCCAGTGTTTGAGGATTAAGGAATCTTGCTACCTGCCGAATTAGCCACCAAAATGTTCAAACACTTTACAGAATTACACGGCACGTTGAGTGTTTACGTTACTTTGTTTCCGTTGCGTTCGAATATGATTCAGGCGAAATGCCGCTGTTTGCAGCGACCAAAGCAACAGGCTGACGACGAGTGAGCAACTCAGGATGAATTGCGGACTGTTGCTGGTTTTTATATTCAATGAAGTGTGCAGCAACAGCGGCAGAATTAATAGGTGAATTGTTCGGAAGTATGGAATCGTGTCGCATCGTTTCGGCTTGTTGTTCGTAAGCCATTGCACTGATGCGGGGGTGGTGCGGCTGCCCATGTTCTGTTTTCTTACCGCGGCTTTTGCCATGAGCATGCGTACATTCAAGCCATTCTGTTCAGTAACATTCATTCACCAACAGGCTTGGGATATGAATTGGTAACTACAGCAGACTGTTGCATGCAACAGGGCCCAACGCTGTGGAATTCCAATTTGAGAAACTTTACACGGATATTTTTTAATAGCTTGATAGTAGAAACGAATAAGAAGAATGCGTTTTGTGGCGAAATAACGGCAATAAAGTATAGGTGACATGACTAGGAGTGCGGGAGCGCACAATAAATTAATATGATTTTGTTGTAACGAGTGGGCTGCAAAATGAGATGAAATAAGAGTTATAAAAAGTGGTAAAAGCAATTAACACTAGATTCTGTTCATTTTTTTGTAATTTGATTTTGAATCATCTCTGAGCGATTAAATCGGCGTCACATGGAAGTAATGACATCAAAAGGTTGATCTACCGCCGCAAAGTGACACTTTCGATTATCCTTCGCACATTCATATACGTACTTGTGCTATGTAAGCTTGCGTGAGAGTGTTTTATTAAATTTATTATTAAAAATTTTAATTTGTGCGCACTTCGCAACACAATCCAATAATGGAAATATTCATCGGTGACTCTATGCGCTTAACTTTCAATTTTCACGCACAATTAACCTTCCCCATCTCGAAATTGGTCGCGGTGTACATGGACAGTGCAATGTTACTCATACGCCCTGTCGCTCAACCCAGACTGACGAAAATCGCCAATACTGCAGCGAGTTTTTAATTACTGTGCTGTCAGCAAGCATTCCGTCATTTCTCTTCGTATACTTTAACGCTTCATCAGAGAGCAATTCTTGTTTTATGGCATCTGCGACATTAATAACGGGGCTGTCAAAATCGCTACTGTAATTGGTTAAAGATTCGCTGTCGCCCATGATGACAGCGAACGCACACATGCACATACATATGCATATTAAATTCTTTACGCCTTTTGAGTTTTGATACAATAATGACTTGATTATAAAATTTGTATCATAATAATAATGTTTTTACGCCCACTGTGTACAAAATTTATGATTTTAGGTACTTTACGTGCTTACAGATAGTTTCTTTTGAATGAATATGCCCATAAAATACTCGTAATTTACGATTTAATGAAATATTCAGGAAGCCGAACGGATCCTTTAAAAATATAAAAGCAGACAAAAAGTTAGACTCTTTTAGAAAATGATGCGTAAATGTCAGTTGCAAATTAAAATTACATCAAATATGTATATACATACATACATACAGACAACATCATGACATAAGTGGCTAAATGTGCATAGATATCTCGAAAATCACGAAGCGCTTTCGGCAGCCGATTTCAACTATTCTTTCTATAAATCTCTAATGGAGTTTCCTGGAACAATTTATTCAAGATCTGTTTGAGTTTTTTGCATACCTGAACGACTACTGGATTTTCAGGAAGCTACAGGAAATACGSCTCTGCCTGTCATGGGGCGACCACTATTAGAACTCTGTTTAATTTTTGAGCGCATGACACAATTGCTGTCGAACTTCTATTCTATCTATTAATAAARTATATTTAATTCATATATGTATATATGAGAAGTGGAAGAAGAAGAAATTGGAGAAGACCGCTAAAGTGATCCAGACGAAACTGCTAATAAATTACACTTATGCTTATGTTTCCAGTTACCCCAATATAGGTTTTACTTTAAAATGTGTTATTTATACGAATCAATGTTTTTGATCCWTGATTACTCGCAATATTCCCCTCCGTGACATATTTCATTAGGATATATATGTATTGACGTTAAGGTTTTCGTTCGCCCAAGTTTTTGTTTACCAACGAGCTGCTATGAATTTTTGTTGTTTTCTATATACAAGTGCGACATACCTACTTATTGGAATTTATGGAATAACTTCACGCAGCTGAAAATTCATAATACAATGAAAGGAAACTTTTAGCTAAATAGTAAAACTAACAGAAACTATTCCTTCCTCGGATATTGTGTTGGTTTATCTCAGCTAAATTTTTATATAAGTAATTCACTAGTAGAAGCTATTGGAAGGGTCGATTGAGCTGAACAAGCCAAGTGAACGCTGATATACGGATCAAMATGCTTATAGCAAAGGTAATATGTATGTAGATACTTTTGTAGCACCCGTTCGCAAAGTTGCCAGGTGTCTGGCTGCTTAGGTATCCAGAAGCAGAGAATTTGTGACAGGATCCACTCTGAAACACTAGTTTGCCTAGTTTTCTACAAGGGGGAACTCAGTCCGATAATAGGTTAATTGCGAGATTTCATGATGAAACTTATGTAGATGTTTTAACACAGCGGTGGTGCACATGCAAGAAAGGCAAAAACTTTGTGTTGCTCTGCTGGGCACTGGGATTAGCAAGCCTTGGTTAACTTACGGTGCCTGTGGGATCCMAAAGTCCTTCTATTCCAGATTTCGCATTTTTCTAGATATTGTATTAAAATATCACTTATCCAAAGCTGTAGATTTACTTGGATAATTCAAAATATCAAAAAATCCAATGGGGAAAGAAATGTGATTTTCTTTACCGCAAAACTAAATTCGATGTGTGTTTGTGAAGAAAAATCGGCTTGGGCAGTAGCGGACACTCTAATGTACATGCACGTAAACATATACATACATACATATTACATATGTATGTAATTAAGATTTTCAAACTTTGGAAACCCCTTCATCTGCCATTAACTGAATTATCTTCACAGAAAAACAATGTCACACATGCATACAAATTATAGTGAAACCAGTGCTTGTGACCCATSCATGTGGGGGTACAAAGGTACACTGAAATGAGCTGAGCTAGCTGRGACGCTCTTATTTGCAGGAGCCAAAAGTTGCTATTTTTAACACAAGCAGCAAGAAAGATTGACAATTAATGACAGAAGTGATCTACAACGCTTCAAATAGCCAACATCCAGTCAAAATACGAAGACCGGCGACACTAAATTAGGCTTATGTGCCAATCCCAGCGAAACCCCACATGGGAATTTTTCTCAAATGGCAGCCGATTTCTTTATGGACTAATACGCAGAATAATTGCAAAACACATACACACATGTATGTACATATATGTATGTATTTATGTGACATATTTGCCATTCATAAATTGAGTGTTTTTGTCTTTTTCGTTTTGCAATACGCATACGTGCATACATAGATATGTAGGTAACATAACCCTGTCTTATATTTGTTTTTTAGAGACATTCATGCACTGGGTCTTCGCACGAAATATTGATGGTGGCATGGGAGAAGTAACAAAATTTTGATTGATGAGTTGCTGCCTTGGTGATTCCGTTGCAGGGGTTGACAATAAAAAAGTGTTGTTGTCGTTTAACGCGTGTTGCTGGTATTTGACTTTGTTGCTTTATTTGTACGTATTCAAATGCGAAGTCACACACGAAACAACACAACAACACATTTAAAGAATTAGCATGAAAACTACACATACAGAAAGTTTAGCTCAAAGGCCTTTGCGTAAGAAAGGGATGTATGATCACACGTACACAAAAGTTTCGGTTATTATTGTCAATTCGCTGTTAAATAACTCAAAGTCATTATCAGAAATTTTTGTTGGCGCTYTTGGGTTAATTGCCCAAGATGAGGTTTAACCGGTAGTTGGCTACAGGAGTACTTACATGAATGTATGTGAATATGTATTCGCAACTTCAATATCTTAGACTGAAGACTATTATGAAAATAAGAAAGGATCCATCAGCATTTGTCAATACAAATTAAGCAAAATAATAACTGTGCACAAAACATTAGTCGAAACGTCACTGTTCAAGGTGTATACATACATACCTTGGAAGTGCTGGCGAGTTTGCGGGTATACAGATACAGATGGACCCACATTCATATTGTATTGACTACGAGTTGTGCGATTCCTGTGGTATCGATTTGAAAAATTTTGTTTGAATCGACAATCTTGCGACAATGTCGGCTGAGTTGTCACGTTTGTTCTTTTTATTTTTCTAATATAATAATACTTGTACACAGAATAATATAATTACAAACTAATTTACTAACTGCAAAATTTTTGATTTAATATCCCATTAATAAAAAAGTAGCAAAAGTGTAGAGCTTGGAACATTGTTTGAATGCGGTAAGGAGAAGTCAGCATCAGCCTCCGTGTTTTTATGAATGTGTGGGTTATTGTCATATTAGTGCATAAATAAGAGAACATTCAATAAACCTAAACGTGTGAATATAGCAAGTAAAATATATTATGTTATTAAAGAACCAAACTGAGTTTTGTTAGGATTTCAATTACTACAATAAAAAAATAAAATAAAATAAACAAATTAAATTTAAAAAAAATATCTAAAGTTCGTGAGTTTTACGATTCGAGCAAAATTGTTCGTTTTCGCATTGAGTTTAACTGCTTCACGTTTACAAGCTGATGCACCACAAAAGTGGCAATCCGGCCGCGTTGGTCACTATTTTATTGTTATTCTTTGATCATGAGACATTTTCATATCAAATACTTCTTTTATTCCGCGGTTTTTAGCAATAAACCTTTTCAATTCAAGTGATTATTTGTAAATATAGATTATGCATTTTTTTGTAATATGAGAGAAATAGAAAATACCAGTCTAAATAGTGATGCGTATAGATAATTCTTTTAATATCATTCGTTGGGTCTATTTATAGCTCTTTACCCGTTTCGCGCATGACGTGGTGTCTTTTTCTTTTCGGATTTATATGTATATTTCAATGTTTCCTCATGGGAAAACCACAAATAATACTCAAAAACATTTGCGSCTTCTCTATTTATTAACATTCTGTGCTGATGTCTTCTTAATTTTATAACGAAGAACGTATATCATATATACATATAAAGTATATGTAGAGTCGTTTGCGCATACAGTGGACWYGCGATAATATGAACACCWAAATTATGAACCCCCCAAAATATGAACACTTTTTGGCTACCATTGACTACTCTAAAATATGAACTTTGGACAAAAGCTCTAAAATATGCACAATATTGTTGTCAATAATAAATTTAAAGCGCTTTGTAATTTGGGGAATTCCCTAGTTATTCGCATTCAATATGCATGTACATACATATGTATTTATCCATCGCTCCAAAATGCTTTCATGTGCTCATTACATCTACGTCAGTCGTCTGTAAGAATTTTTAAGTGTTTTCGGTTGGTGATTGCACGCAAGTATAAGTGCCTCTTTATTTTCTTAAGAAATAATCACATGTAAATAATTTTGAAACATGCACACAAAATAGCATACGTTTCTGACTTTAAGAGACAAATCCGATATTTTGGAATGCTTACGAAAAGGTGCAAGTGTTACAAATTTAGCAACTAAATATGGAGTGGCAAAGTCTACAGTATGTGGAATAAAGAAAAATAAAAATGCTATCCTTAAATGTGTTAACCATACATTTATGGGTCCTGGAAAAAGGAAAACTATGCGTCCATCAGAGTATCCAAAATTTAAAAAATCGTTGTATAGATGGTTTKTGCATATGAGGGACAACAAACTCCCGGTGAGCGGACTGATGTTAAAAGWAAAGGCGAAGGTGCTTCATTGTACAATTAAAGAAAATTGCCTTCATTTCAATGCCAGTGATGGATGGCTCGTTCGGTTGCTCCAAGTTTCTGGGGAAAACTATCTTCACAGCCCCAGTTGGTCGATCCATTCAAAAAAGCTCTAAAGACGAAAATGGAAGAGCATGTATCATCATTAGAAAAAACAGAACCAGGAGCAAAGATGGAAAAGCAAAGAATAACATTCTTGTGCTGTTCAAATGCGGAAGGATCTCATCAACTCAAGCTCCTTGTGATAGGCAAGGCCAGAAACCCCCGTTGTTTTAACTGGTTTGACTGCCCTGTTYATTATAGGCATTCAAAGTCCGCTTGGATGACTGCCGCTTTCTTCAAAGWTTGGTTCCATCGTTCATTCACATCTGAGATAAGTATTCGCATTTTAGTAGCTTACAACTTATGTAAGTGTGTTACAACTTATGTAGGTAACGAAATTTTTGACAAAAAAAGGTCTACCAGTTAAGGCTGTCCTTTTAATTGATAACGCTCCATCGCATCCACCTGAGAATGAACTTAAAAGTGCAGACGGCTCTATTTTAGCAATGTTTATGCCACGCAACGTCACMCCCCTTATACAACCCATGGACCAAAATGCAATCAGGATTACAAAACTTTATTACAGAAACAGTCTTTTGGCTTCCGTTGCTGCAACCGGATGTGACTTGCTAGAGTCTATGAAGCAAATTTCACTTAAGGACGCTATTATTACTCTTGAATCTGCATGGAATAAAATGGATGAGGCTGTGCTGTCAAAATGCTGGAACAATGTTTTGAGTATGCTTGAAAACCAAGAAGATCCTGAAGATGAAATTCCTTTCAGTATCCTTCGAAGGAACTTGAATATGAATGTGGGGTACTTGGAGGAGAGCGCAGCCAATCTTGGAATCACTGCTTGCAAMGTTAGAGAATGGAACGAGGATGCTATTGAATTCAATGAAAATGAAATACAAGAAATATCCGACGAAGACGACTATACTGTAGAGTCGCAAAAGACGATTACAGCAAGAGAAGCTATTGACATATTTAATAATGCTTTGGAATGGGCTGAAAGTGAAATGGTTGAACATAAGGAATTAAATGTATTAAAGAACCTAAGRGAAAAAGCAGTTTTTAAGGTGGYTGATCAAAAGAAACAGCAAAAGAGGATTACCGATTTTTTTCCAAAATGAGCTTCAACTTTTTATAAAATTAAAATATGTATAATATAAAATTATATCTAAATAGTTTTGTTTACATGCAACATTTTTTTACTTATGTAACGAAAAAAATTTATAAAACAAGTTTATTTTGAAGTTTAAAATAAAAAAAATTTAATTTAATACTACATTTTTCGTTTTTGCACCTTTCGTAAATATGAACAATCTCGCAAAAATTAACAGTCCTGTTTTTAATTAGCTCATATTATCGCGAGTCCACTGTATTAAATAAGTGAATCTGTAAGCGTACATTCCTTAACATTTTAACTGTCATAATTTTTCTCATTTAGTGCTCAATTCTGCTATTTTCGAGTCCTCTGATGTAAAACTCTTGTAAAACAGAGAATGTATAAACACGCTTATAATTTTGTCTGTGGTGAAACTCGCTCATCCCTGTCGAGTACCCCTGCGTAAAGATAAGATATCTAAGTCGTGAACCTTCTCTATGATAAACGTTCTCTGTTTATACATTCTTTGCTTTGTCTTCTCTATTCATTACAGAGAACGTTAAAAATGTTCTCTGTTCATTAACATTTTTTGACGGCAGAGTTAGCCAAGGCAAACACCACTAATTTGTAATGTGCGCATTTATAAAACGTCAAGCGGAAAAGGTTAATTTGAAGTTCGTTACGTTACGTAATCTTCGTAATCTCAGATAATTTTATTGTAACAGATTATAACACCGTGTACTAGATTCACTAGGTCGTATTTTATTTACGTTCGTGTAAAGCAGTCGAAAAATGTGCAAATCGTATGAATAAAGTTTKAATGACATAAAGTAAAATCTTCCTAAAACACGAATTAAACAATATATATTCTACAATTTGTTAGAAAATATAATAAGATATATTAAAAAAGTAATTACGTGACAATCGGAAAAAATGAAACACATATACCCTCAATTGCRGAAATTAAGAAGTTAGAGCGAGAGAGTGGGAGAAAATGAAAGAACGCCAAAGTTGACATTTTGGAAGTGGAATAAGGAGTACAGCAAACAGCAGAAAAATGCCGAGAATCTAGTGAAGAATCAACTAAAATCAAGAATAATTTCAGTAAAAGTGGTCGTTGAAAATAAAAAATGTTAATTATTTTTTCGTATTTGCGAAAATAAATCTTCAAAGGAAAAAAACGTTGGTAAAGTTGCGTTATATGTGACAAGACAACGTCGTGTCAACCGGCGTGAAGTTAAAATTGTTTAAGACGCTTTAAAATAAGGTAAAAGTTAGTGTAAAATATAAAAAAATAGTTTGTAAGGCGACAGTAATGTCGGGTGGAAGAGAGTCAAACAGCAGTAATGCAAGCTCCAACAGTAGCGGTGTTTCGACAACTGCATCCTCCACGCCCACATCTTCAGGTCAAAATAACAACGGCAATCAGCGCTCTCGTGGGCGTCCAGCCAAACGCGCTACTTGTACGTGGTGTGGTGAAAGTAAGCAACTGCTGCAATATGTGTTACCAACGCAGAACGGCAAGAAAGAATTCTGTTCGGAAACATGCATCGCAGAGTTTCGGAAAGCTTATAATAAAGGCGCCTGCACTCAGTGTGATAATGTGATTCGAGAAGGGGCGCCAAATAAAGACTTTTGTTCAGTGATGTGTATGAATAAACATCAAAAAAAGAATGGCTCCACTAGACAACATAGTAGTGGGGGAGGTGGTGGGCGAGGAGATTCCGATCGAGGAAAAATGTCTTCAATTGGAGGTGGTTCCTGTACACCAACTGGACCATTCCAGTATGAAAGTTTTCATGTTTTTGATTGGGATGCATATTTGGAGGTATTTTGTTATGTGAATTAAAATGTTTTATCCTATTTATATTGTTAATTTGTTTTAGGAGACCGGAAGCGAAGCAGCACCGCCGGAATGTTTTAAACAAGCGCTTAACCCTCCAATCAATGACTTCAAAATAGGCATGAAATTAGAGGCACTAGAYCCTCGGAACGTAACTTCAACATGTATTGCGAGTGTTGTGGGTGTGCTCGGTTCGCGGCTGCGACTGCGCTTGGATGGCAGTGACAGTCAAAATGATTTTTGGCGCTTGGTCGACTCGAATGAAATCCATGCGATTGGGCACTGTGAAAAGAACGGCGGAATGTTGCAACCACCACTCGGTTTTCGCATGAATGCCTCCAGCTGGCCCGGTTACCTTTGCAAAATTTTAAATAATGCCATGGTTGCACCGGAAGATATTTTCCAACCGGAACCGCCAGGTCCCTCGGAGAATCTCTTCAAAGTTGGCCAAAAGCTCGAGGCGGTCGACAAAAAGAATCCACAACTGATTTGCTGTGCGACAGTTGATGCGATTAAAGACGACCAAATTCATGTGACTTTCGATGGGTGGCGTGGAGCGTTCGACTATTGGTGCAGCTACGACTCCAGAGATATATTTCCGGTTGGTTGGTGTGCACGTAGTTGTCATCCAATGCAACCGCCGGGTCATAAATCGCGTACCGATTCGAGTTCGAGCAAGCACCGCAGCCCCCGACCACGCTACACCTTCGTTCAAGAGGCGGACGCAATGGTGCCTGCCACACCGGTTACCGCGCATTTTCACACAAATTGCAAAGGAGGTCCATTCATTAATAGCACTAAATTGCCATCAATGGTAACAGGGCCAACCCATCAAACTCTAGCAAAATTGTGTTTACAAGAAGTGCTTGCTGCAAGCACAGATACTCAGCAGCTTTCAAAATTATTATTCGCACTAGAAGGAGATGTGCACATAGTGCCAGCKGCAGGAAAGAATTTCACAGTAAGTGAAATTGTTTATACACTACTTGTTTACAAAATATAACCGTATATCTTTCTCAATATTTAGGTGAAAATTCCATCACAATTGCGAATGAGAGACGATGACAGTTTGGCACAATTCATAGAAACACTATGTACTACATGTAGAGCATGCCCTAATCTCATATCGTTGGTACCCGCAACGGAAGAATGTGACAAATGTGTCATTACCAAGAAGCGCTTGTTATCAACGAATTCCACACCGCCCACGTCACCAGTTATACCGGAGAAAAGAAAAACACTCGGCTTATTAAGCGATAAGCCTCATGCAATCAAACAAGAATTACCAACATCCACCACAACTTCATCGCACATTGTAGATTCTTCGTCTGCACCAGTTATGGTAACAGTTGGGGGCAGTATTCCCAAAGCTGATGCTGAACTCAAGCTATCTATAAACAATAATAACTTATTACCAGTGCAAATAAAAGTCGAACCTAATACAAATGGAACCTCGACTATTGCATCACAAACCCACTCTTTGCGGCAGATACGACTTCATCACTTAAACAATCCGGAGGAGTCGAAGCAGATTTCGAATAATACGTCTACTTCTACAAGTTCAACAAACTCGAATGTGAAGTATCTTGCCCCTCTTGTGGCTGAAGTACATCCTGAACAATCAAGTGTGGTGAATACCGTTATTGGCTCATCGACATACAAATCGCCTTCGACTTTATCATCGAGCGCATCCTTACCTACATCTGTGTCGACGCCATTTAGTGGTTTACAGTCGGCTTCATCTACAGCATCTGCAGCTGCTGGTACAATAGTTTTGTCGGCCGCAGCGCCACCAACATCAGCAGCGTCAGCAATGAGTTCTGCATCTTTACCACCACTCCGTTCACATCCCGGAGATTGGTCAATTGAAGAAGTCATACAATTCATCGAAAGCAATGACACTTCCCTTGCCGTACATGGTGATCTATTTAGAAAACATGTACGATGTGCTATTCATTGATATATATTTTGAAATTTAAAATTTCTACTTCTTCTGTGTTTTTCAGGAAATCGATGGGAAAGCGCTGCTTCTTCTTAATTCCGAAATGATGATGAAGTATATGGGTCTTAAGTTGGGACCAGCCTTAAAGATATGCAATTTAGTTAATAAGGTTAATGGTAGACGTAATAATATGTCACTATAAATGCGGCTGAGACGATTAAGAGATACCAATATACATACATACATATGTACCATAGTTAATAGGTATATTGACAAACGTTTCTATATGATGAAAATGTATTGCAAATGTTAGAAAAACTTACCTAGAATTAGAGCTGAATAAGTGTACGCAATGAAAGTTGTTGGCGTATTTTCTATAACAAGGGTACCTTCACGTATATTTGYATTAATAATTACTACATTAATATTTAAACTGAAAATGTAACATGAAATCGATTTAAATTTTTAAATTGAAAATGCTTAATTATATATTTTTTGTATGTATACATTTAGGAAGGACTACTGCACCTTTTATAATATATATTTGTATGTATATTTGATTAAAATTATTAAAATTAAACTTAAGTAAAGGAAAAACAGAAAGCAATGTAATAGATGAATAACGATATATCACAACAGCACAATAAGCATTTAAAATGTTATATTATGAAAAAACCTTTTTTTCCTTTAATTGTAGCGTAGGGCAGACAAAAACGATTGACCACGCATCGCACACAGAATAAAAAAGTAATTACAAAACTTTTAGTAAGACAGCTATTTAAAATATTTTATTTGGATATTTCTATAAAAATTGTTGTTTCTGCACTTATTGCAAAAGTTTTGAAAAAACTGTCGAAAACGTTTCATAAAATGTGATTTTGTGTACCGTGGGAATTAAGACTTACGTTATGCCGATTAAGAGTCTTAAACCAATTAAATAATTAAAATTATCATCAGTGGTCGAATTCGTTATTTGATTACATTCAATGCTTAATTGATTCGTCTCGTACTTTAGTTTCGGACTTGTAAAAAATATAGAGTTGCAAAAAAAGAACTAAATTATATTTGAGATCAGCTGAAAATATCCGAACAAATAAATATCGCAATGCTATGATTTCTTGTAATATATGCACATTATAAGAACGGGGTATTAAGGCTAACTTCAGACATGCTTAATTGGCATCACACAATTGTAATGCACTGAGAAGGTTTATATTTTATATGTATAAGTATGTATATTGAAATATACAATAAAATTAGCTTTATTGTAATCATAGCCACATAACCATAGTTAAATGAATGCTAACAAAACAGAGACAAGCAAATCAATATGAAACTTGGTATATAACACCATTATAAGTAGCATGTATACATACATAGGTATGTTCATCTCAACATATTAAAAGTGAAGTTACGTAACGTTATTGAATTGTAGGTCAAACTGAAACGCAATATATGCATATACATCTATACATCTATGTATAGTATATTTAGAGTAGTACGAAAAAGATTCTTCAGTTTCCATTGCTGATAAGATTAGCACATACTTGAAAATATGTAAATGCTTATCATATTGAAAACGAACTGCATTACATTTTGAATGTTTCTGAAAGTGTAAATTATCCAAGTTTATTTCAGGTTGTCCAAGGCTCAATTGATAAGGGTTTGTCTGTTATTATTACAATATGAATACATATATTAAATATGAATTGTTCTTTCTTTTGAGATATTCAGACGAAATTTCATCATTTTTTGAAAGCAGAGCAGTGTATAAGCTGTCTCTTATACACATCTAGATGTGTATAAGAGACAGGTTTATTTCAGGTTGTCCAAGGCTCAATTGATAAGGGTTTGTCTGTTATTATTACAATATGAATACATATATTAAATATGAATTGTTCTTTCTTTTGAGATATTCAGACGAAATTTCATCATTTTTTGAAAGCAGAGCAGTGTATAAGTGGTTTTTATATACGCAAAATTACTATGTAACAATATATGATTTGATTTGATTTGATTTATTTATGATGGATCACGCTTTTATAAAATGACATTTCCATTCAATAATTCTCAAGGTTGCATGTGGATTGGTAACGCATGTGTAGAAATACCAACATGCATGGAAATGTGAGTTGAATTCTTTAACAAAAAATAAGGGAGGTCAGGATTGTACATAACAGTAAAATGTATTATTTGAAGAATTTAATTAGAATAAATAAATGAAATGAAAGTAATGAGGCATAAATATATTTGTGTAGTAATACTTTTTTTAGGTACTTATATATTACCATGGTTGGTACAATTATTGTTTGTCGAGCAGTGTTTAGATGCATACCATCACGAGGAGGAACAGTCCAGCCCAGTATATTGTTGTTTTAATCGCTACTCAATCCTTCTTCGATATCATCCAATGAGTTACCTGAATACGTATTGTTTAGGTGGGCATAGCAATAGTTAGTTAGTATCCACCCCACTCTGTCACTTGGTTACAATCGCGGTTGTGTCCATGTTACAATTTATCTGAGTTTAGGGTTTTTACTAGGAAATTCTATCGATGATTATCTCGGATAGTTGGTTTATSTTATCAGGTTTGGTGGAAGTTTTCGTATTCTTCCAGTTTTAAATTTCCGACTTTTAAAACTTATTTTATATTTTTATGATATTACGTAAGTTGCCTTTTATATTTCGGGATTAGATAGCAAAAACAAGTATTAATCATTGGAAACCGCTTTATTGTTTTTCAAAATATTCTCCATTATGATTTATACACTTTTAGATGCGTTTAAACCAATTTTCCAAACACTTTTGAAACTCTGATTGGCGTATCTCCTTGACGCGTCTCTTCAAATGACGAAAAACGTTGATCTTTTAGTTTATTTTTTCATTCGTATGGGAATCAAAAGAAGTCATTCGGTACCAAGTCAAGACTCTACGGTGCGTGGCTCATTAAATCAATATTTTGAGTGCTCAAAAATGCAAGTGTTTCAGACGATGTGTGAGATTTGGCTTATTATGAAACACCCATTCAGTCGACCGATCCTTACTTTCGGGCRCATCCGCGTAAATCCACGTTTCATCACCTGTCATCACAGGTTTCATAGGCGTAGTTCGAAGAATCGATAATGTATTGTGTTAACAGCTCTCTCGCCAAATCGGCATGACACTTTTTATGTATATATAGCGATCAACAAATTGCGTGGGATTCCACGTGAAAAATTTCAACAATCAAGTATTCATGCAATATTGCAAATTGCGTGGGATTCCACGTGAAAAATTTCAACAATCAAGTATTCATGCAATATTGAATGTATGCTAGTCCAACTAATGTCTATAGTTGTCCCAATGCCACGGCCTATCGTGACGATCTTGCAATATTAGTATGCACAGACCTTCAATAGTTTCCGGAGCAAAAACTTTTTATTGACGACCTTCACGAAATTCGGCTCAGAGTGATCTACGGCCTCGATTGGATTCGCTATCAATAAACACTCCTCCTTAATGGAGCTTAATCGCAAACAATTTAATTAAGTTCATCGAGGCCTTGTTGCTGAGGTAACATACGACGAAAGTGGTTAATTCCATTTTTTGGCCGAAATGAATATTTTAAGTAACTTTAACCACAAAAAGAACGCTCGTATGTCAAAAGGTTCTGAGTACGTAAAACATCAACGTTTTCGCGATCCTCCGTGCCCCTTGAATGCGTGTTCTTGGTTCTTAAGAGTTAAGGTGAGATAGTTCCGAAAACTTATGATATACATATTTGCAATAAACCTTTCATAGGGCCGAATTGATCCAACTTATAAAGTCTTTAAAACAATATATGCTATTTAGTCTGCGACCTCAGTGAAAGTTTTTCAAATTTTTTAAATTAAATTCGTGGTACTACTTTATGTTTTGACGGTACAGTAATATAAATAGTTGTTATGTGCAGGGTTCACATAAGTTATGAACTTTGATCAGTTACTCCGTTGCTAAATTTGGCGATATATACCAGAAAGGAGAACGAACTTATTTACATAATTACCTTAGTTGAATGGGTCAAACGGAAAAACAAGGCAAGCGTCAGAATGTGACGAAATTCAATGTTAATTTGAGATGGGACGTATCTTGCCCTTCTTCTAATTGAATGAGTTGTGTTGTGCTGGCTAAAGATTTAAAAGGCTTCAACACATATTGCTTTTCAATGGATCATTTTGCATTTGATCATGATGACACAAAACCACTCTTATGGTTTTAAATCCAAAAGTATGTCTCTATGCAATGAATGTCATAACATGTAATAGATAGAAGTCGTTGACTACGGTAGCAAATTGTTTTGATTTTGGTTATTGTACGAGTAATTTCATGTGAAAATGCTGAAAAAAGTAGCTCAACTCAATTTGGGTGCTCAAAAGTCCATCGGCGTGAGAGTGAGTCTTTTTGTCCAAAGTATTAGGTATTTGCATTTCACTACCTCCTTATTATAATATGAGTGTGACGCTGCCGATGCGTAACGAGTGCTGTAGGTAAGTGGCATCCGCTAAAATGCTCGTTTATTGTGGGTGGCATTCGCATGGTGGCCTTTCGTTTTTTTTTGTGGGGATATGATGTCTGGCAATTGTTTACAAAGTTTTCATATAAAAAGTTTTTTTGTTATTTGCAAAATATCTTACGAGAAAAAACATTTCATTTCAGGGTCTGAAAATGTTGGTGAAGTTTAACCTGTTGGTAGATTAGCATTGTAGGCGTTGTCCTGATTCGCGAATGTATGCTCTGATTCTGAAAATAGGATGGAGCGGGGAATTTAGAAATAGTTGTTGTTGGAAATGGTGAACTGGTGGAGTAGGTATGGAGAATGTATGCCAGTATTTAAACGTCTATTTGGCTCATTTGTTTATGTGTGTTTTGCAGTGTGTGAGGCTCTTATTATTTCAAGTAATTTCGGCAAATAGCATGAAAATGACTTTATGAAAAACTTTTACAGACATTTTGCAGGGTTTATGTTTACTGCAGAATCGCAAAGGATGCGAGATCTAAAGTGGGTATACGGACACACACATCGTTTATGAATGAGTATATATACTTACTGAAATATATACGCATTATCTTTMTGATTTTGTAATTGATTTAAGAAATGTTTAACTTTAAGCTATAATTTTATTTTTTATACATATTTCAACATTTAATTTACAGCATAAGACCAATACGGCGTTTTCTCATTTTACTAAATCTTTCTATAGGGCAGGATTTCCCAAAACGTCTAATTAGGTATTCAATGAGTACAGTTAAATAATTTTCTTCCAAATTTAGGCTAAATTTTGGTAACAGCTGCCTCAATTTGAAACTTTCAAGAACTTCATTGGAAAACCGCATTTTTAATTCTTTCATGACCGTGTCAGTGAGTGGAATGTATGCAGAAAAGTCTTCACAGTTTTAAGATGGGTGATTGTTCGATGACTGATGTTTTTWTCAATTCAATGTCTAATTTTTCAACCATCTGAAAAATGTTGTAAC